CAGGCATGAGCCAACACGCCCGGCCTTTTTCATTACCAGCTTTTCTAGGTGGTTGGTCTGTACTCACCTCCCTTTCCTCGTGACGTGCACCCTTTTTAACTCTACAAAAATCTAGCTTTTCTCCAAGCACTCAATTAAAACTACCTTCCTGACCTCCTTCTTCTTGGCCTCTTGGTAGCTTTTGGTCGCTTATATTAAACTTTCTTTTCTAGACTCTGTAATACAAACTTGGCTATCTGCCTACTTCTCCAGTCAAATCCTTCTCCATTCCATTCACTAATTCCTCCTCCTCCCACTCACTGCAGGCATAGTCACTGGCCTTCTGAGCTGGTGTGTACTGGCTCTGTTGAGCTCATTTATTTTCATAACTGTGACTTTGCACTTAGAACTCTAGCCCTGATCTAGTTCAGTGACCTTTAGGACACCCTCATAGGATTTTCACCATAAACTCAGCTTGGTCACTACCAAATTAATAAAACTTATGTCCTAAACTACTCTGGCGTCCCATGGTTCCTATTTTGGTCAATCATTTTCCCAGACATCCATGTTTAAAACCTATGAGTTATTTAACTCTCTCATTTATACCTCATATAAAATTATCACTTAAGGAAGGTATTTTCTTCAAAATATTTCTTATTTTTCTCCTCTCCATTCGTAATGCCACTTCCAGAGTCCAGATTGTTTCTGGAACAACGCAAATCTCATAATTGCTCTCCACTAAATTATTTACATCCTGCATACAACCTGATGAGTGGTTTTTCTTTTCTTTTTTTTTTTTGAGGCGGAGTTTTGCTTGTTATCCAGGCTGGAGTGCAATGGCACAATCTCGGCCCACCGCAACCTCCACATCCTGGATTCAAGCAATTCTCCTGCCTCAGCCCCCCGAGTAGCTGGGATTACAGGCATGGGCCACCACGTGCAGCTAATTTTGTATTTTTAGTAGAGCCAGGATTTCTCCATGTTGGTCAGGCTGGTCTCGAACTCCCAACCTCAGGTGATCCGCCTGCCTCAGCCTCCAAAGTGCTGGGATTATAGGCATGAGCCACCACACCCGGCTGGTTTATCTAAAAGAACAGTTTTCATCATGTTTTTACCATAAGGAAGACCTTACTAGGCTCCTTATTGATTATGAGTCCAAACTTTAGCATGACACTTGAGACACTCTGAAATTTGGCTCTATGTTGCCATATGTGAAATTACCAAGCAAATATTAGGAGCCTTGTAAATTTTATATTTTCTTAATTACCACTGTTCCCTTCCATATACCCTCTCCTTCAATCATACTCTATTCCTTAAACATACTATGCTTGTTCTATTCCCCCTCCTGTGTAGGTCTTTCACTCTTTTTTTTTTTTTTTTTTTTAAGTTGTGGAATCTTGCTCTATTGCCCAGGCTGAAGTGCAGTGGAGTGATCTCGACTCACTGCAACCTCCGCTTCCCAGTTCAGGCGATTTTCATGCCTCGGCCTCCTGAGTAGCTGGGATTACAGGCACGTACCACCACAGTTCACTAACTTTTGTATTTTTAGTAGAGATGGGCCAACAATCACCATCTTGGCCACTGAAGTAGTCTTGAACTGCTGTCTTCAAGTGATCTGGCCACCTCGGCCTCCCCAAGTGCTGGGATTAAAGGTGTGAGCCATCGTACCTGGCCTCTTTCACTCTTGGAATAACGATTCTTCCTAATTGCTTTTATCCTTTCATAACTACCCACCAATCAAAAGCTCACCTATTCTCCAGGGTGTATCTCAGGCACAAATGCCTCCTGAAAGCTTTTCATACAACTCTATCCTGTACGAATCTCTCTCCTTACACCGGCTAAAGTACTGCCAATGTCTTCTGCTTTCAAATATATATACAATTTAACATTGTAACATACGTTTTCATTTTGTTCTAAGTATTTTGTAAATGCAATTTTATAAATTCCTTGAGGACAATAACATCATAGATTTCTTTTTTATCAGCATAAGCAACCTTTAACAGCCTTAGGCATAGATTACATAGGTATTGAATACTACTGAACTGAAATTTAACTGTACCATATCTCCCCGGTGTTCTGTATACAGGGTTAGTATTAAATCTCAGTGAAATATGGCCAAGTTGAGATGCATACCTGCACTGAGTACTAATTGTTTGGTTTCCCCATCCTCAAAAGCCTGGTATTGCAGCCCTCTATTTACTGCACATCACTAGGGATGTCCTGTCTCCCCCCAGCCTCCAATCCCCCAATCAACTCACTGGTTCTGTTGTTACTGGTTTCACAGTTACAGGCTTCTGATGGTCTGTACGTGCTGTTTGAAGATGAATGGTAGTCCCTACTGCTTCCGTTATGTCCTTATTCAAACTGTTCTACCCTCAGTGGGATTTGGGAAACACAGAGTTAGCATTTTCTCCATCCACCATCTTCATAGATTCTCTATTTAAAGTTCTCCCCTTCCCCACCTCCGCCCAGCCCAAAAACAAGCTCAGGTATTCCCCCTCCCTACGCTTGCATAGATTTGTACCCGTCTCATTTAGAAGTCCCTTGATGCCCCTCTCAGTGTCGTAGCAAACTTACTGAGGACAATTTATAAAGTTTTAGCTTTTTTCTCCTCCCCAGATACGGTTAACAAATCTGTTTTGGGCCTACTACTTGGTTTCTCTTCATGAAACATTTCAACATTGCCCAGTTTCATTTCTTTTTTTTTTTTTTTTTTTGAGACAGAGTTTT